ATTAATTTTTCTTCTATAAAAACTTAAAAATAATTTACAGTTCATTACCTACAGCTCATGTTTTTGTTATAATGATAACATATTAAAACGATAGACTAGTAATTTATATTCTTATTTATTTATTCATTATATTTTTTAAATAAATCAATTTATTATATTTATATAATAAATAACATTTTCGAACCGTATCGTTACTATTTAAACTACCCGATGAAATGTACTGAAGACGACCAAACCGGATTGGTGCGTTTATAAACGAAAAAATGTTATAATTTTAAAACTCGTAATATGTTAAACGAACGAGTTTCGATACACGCAGTTAAGTACGAGATTTTATTTGTTTTTTAATTTTTGAAAATCCTTCACCGATTATTCCACGTGTCTGAATAAGTAGGTACGTACCTCTACAATAGCTCGAATAGGTTTGGATTAATTTCACTGACATAATTATTCAATGTGAAAACATTTCGTCTAATGAATATTATAATTAAAATTATAACGCGAGGGTTGGTGTGAAGTATATTATTATTATCACGAGGAGAACGCGAATTACTATTAGATGAACACCTGTCTCATTTTTGAACAGGCGGCAACGGACAGTTTTAAATTATGGTTCGGTATGCTTATTAACTTGTCATTAACAACGTCGTTCTATTCAATTAGAACGGACACTTGAGGTTAAACGTTCCATTGCAAATGAACACTCCCAGACGACGTTTCATTAATATCGTTTCCGATGGTGTGCACTTATTCCTGCGGTATACAAACTATTGCCTACGGATAGATGTTATGCATTATGGTACGCGATACGCGATTATTCCGCGACTTGCTAGCACTCGCGTGAACGATGCCGTAACAATATTACGAAAAATTGGGTTTCGGGACAATAAATTAAATGGTATAAGAGCAGTTGAATAACGTTACCTCGTCAAGGATTCGTTGAAACGTTTCCATTTCTTTTTTCTCGCATCCTAGAATCTTTCCACTGGATTCCGTACCACGATGTTACCATTGCGTCCATAATATAAAAAGATGATTTTTCTCTTCCGTTGACGCGAAAATGAGTATGGTATTCAACTGCGTTTGACGATGACTTCATATGCTATGTCGGCAAACAGTGTATAAATCCATTATCACAATATTATTGTCATCGGCTCGTTCCAAACGTTGTTAGACTGATGATCGACGATTGGAAACTGATCGCATAACCTTATCTCATTCCAAATTGTAGACGTGTTGGTTGGTATAACGAACTTATCAACATGATCCATTACTTTTTAATACACTCTATTGATTTTATATAAAAAAAAAAAAAAAATGAAACCAGTCATTTCATCGGGAATTCAAAATTGTGTCCCCTATCCATCGCGGAATGTTTTCTGCGGCATCCGTTTCTGACTGAAATTGATCGGATCCGATAGATCGATGGTTGTTCGTCTTCATTGTAGTTCCGACTCAAGCGCGATCATGAAAATCCATAAAACGATCGTGTATACCGCATATTGCAACGGTAAGCGGTCAGCGGCCGTCGGGTCATGTAGTCAACATAACTATCGTTAAAATGTATTGATTACATTGTTAAAACTATTTTCAAAACAATCGGTATTTCGGAGGGGAGGGAATGATTGAGTATTTCATTCCATTCAGCCGAGTTGGATGTATAGTTGTCTCGTCGTAGCCAGACAAATTGTTTTCTTATCGGGGCCTCGTTTGTTCATCATTCCGACGTTTCAAACTTCTACAGAAATCACTTGTCGACCCATGTGGTCACACGCAGCAGCACACGTGTTCCGCAGTATATCGTTTTGCCTCTCCTCCCTCCAAGATGATGATCTCGATCGCGGACCACGTGTACATGGAAAAAATTTGCACACGTCACCGGCGGACCGATGAGACTCGGACGATCGCTAGTGCACGTCGAAGACAGTGTTCTGCTCATACCGTGCACGCGTGCAGTATCTCCCGTCGCGAAAAAATGTCAACGAGTGTTCTACCGTCGCATCATGAATACGCCCGTCCGACCGGAATCGGATGGATCGCCATTCGAAAACCTGTCCCGATTGGCGTCCGACGGATGACAGTTGCACGCATTGCAAACATGTACTATGGCCAGAGGTGGGGATTCATCTCCGAGTGTCATATTTTAGAGGGTGTAATTTTTGTAATTATTAACAACTAATTTATTATTTTTAACTTTTTTAAATATTGATATTAGGTTAAAACTCAATATGTATAATTGTATATTAATTATTAGAAAAAAATTCTCAAGAAGAGTACTTGATTATTAGTCTATGATAGAGCGCAATTTTTATATTTTCCCCGGGCGTAAAAATTCCTAGTTCCACCTCTGACTATGGCTCACATCGCGCTACAATACATACGGTCATTGGTAAAAGGGTTGAAAACACGTACGAACCAATGTCGAATTTGAACGTTGTCGTTCGTCAATACGAACACGGAGGACTGGATTGATGTACGCTCGAGTCGGACGCGTACACATGCGTACACAGGACACCGAATATTACTATCGTATACCCAAACGGATGGATATGATTAGATCGTGGTCGGTGCGGGAAATATTTACAGCGACGGTTCAGGATGATTTTTTTTCGATTACCTCTAGCGGAGACCACGTTCGATAAAGTTCGTCGACGTGCAGTGGATATTAGAATAGCAGTACGACATCGCAGGATACACTTGATCGGTGGCGCTACCGGAATTTATTTTTTAGAAGAGGGGAATTGTAAGTTTGTAAATAATACAAATTCGGTTAAAGTTAACGGTTCAAACGCGGTGAACCGTAACTTCGTACTTCTTGATTTCCGCGGGACTTTGGGAGCGGTTGTCGTCGGAAACGACCGGGACACCGATGAAACGTTATTGTTCGACTGGTCACAGGGACGGGGAGGGCAGAAAAATGGTAGCGCGTATCCATAACGTCACATCATGCATGCGAATAAACACAGTTTCGATGAACAGACGCTCTTTTATTAATATTTCACGTCGTTTGCGTTGTGACGGCCGGTCGACGGTGTTCACAATAAACGTTTTCGAACGTCACTTGGTCGTCTGCCATCGAAGTGTCACATCTCGTACGCGCGCCGCCAACAAAGTCGTTAACACGTCTTCCCGGACCGTCATGACGCATAGTCCGAACGGACCTCCGAACGACGTAATAATAGTAGGCGCACTCGTATTTTTGACTCTGAAATCGAATATACAACACGTTATGTGATATTTAATTTTTCATGGAGAACATAGCGCTCGCGCGGCGCTCTCTTCGGGGGATGGAAAAAATAAAAACAAAATAATATATATATATATATAGATTTATTCTCGTCGCACGCACGACTTTTTGCGCGTTCGGGAGAGCTCAACCATCGCGCTCCTCCGAACGTCTTTCACGGCTGTCACGAGCAGTGAAGATTTTTTCATCGGGGTAAATCCAATGTATACCAACAAGGGTAAAAAATAAAACCGCATGATATGGGCATACTCGGTTCGGTTTGCGTGGGCAATATTTAGTTCATCATAACTTTAGAATATGGATTAACGATTAATACGATTTGATTTCGTCGTATCTATGGCATGGTGTTCTTCAAAATTATTAAAAATCATTAGTTAAACCAGTGGTTCCCAAAGTGTGCGCCGTGGCGCCCTGGTATGCCACGATGTCTGTATAGGGGCGCCGCGCCATCATGAAATAATATCTGTTCCAAAATTGTCCGTATGATTAGCCATGTTAGGAGACTTGGAGAAGGGCGCCCTGAAAAAGCCTTGAATTAAAAAGGGCGCCGTGAGTCGAAAAAGTTTGGGAAGCACTGAGTTAAACCTTTATGGAATTTTGTTGGTTTAATTGAACTAATATTGAGAGCAATAGAAAATGTAAATAATAAATAAAGCAATAAACTCGTTTCTTTCTTTTCCTGATTCGACAACAATAATTTCAGTTTTTGACTAAAAGTGAAGTTTTCCCTCAAAGAAAAAATCACGATTTTGAACAAAGAAAAAGTAATTTTCTTCGCGCTATTAATATAATAAACTTTCTATATAAAAAATGTTGATGTTTTTGAACTACGTTCGGTTCATATGGCCAACCACATAAATGCGAACACATGGGTTTGGTGCCAACGTGTCCACGTCAAGTGAAATCCTCTGTATTGCAAAACATTCTATCTTACAACAATAACAATAATACACTCAGCACTCATTAAGTCACTCACCCGTCTAAAAAAGTTCTGGTGACACTGTTCGCAGATCAAAAACGCAAACGAACGATTGTGGCAATCGTCGATCAGAGTTGTCCCGGTTGACTAACGTGCCTTGTGGTTGATACATCTGAAACGTACGCAATACAAAGACAGACATGGACGTCATCGTAATGCGTACGTAACATGGGAGCTCACAAGAAATTCATAAGGGGGGGGGGGGAATAATTAAATCGAATACCAAAAAGTATATTAAAAAATGTATTCTTATCAAACAATAAAATATGTTAGAATTATACGCACTTTAGTTGCTATTAAATAAAAACTGGTCTTCGCAGTTGTTCAATTGCATACCTTGTTATTAACTGTTAAATTAATTTTTTCCAAGGGGGGAGGAAATGCCCCGTCTTGTCCCCCCCTCTGGGCGTCCATTTTCGTGTCATATGGTGTTGGACATCGTGTAGCGCGGTCAACTCGATTGCGAGACAGCAGCAGTTACGCCTCGTTTGATTTAATGACTTACTATTTTATTTTTTTGTCTTTTCTTGATCGTTCCGACGATCGCGTTGCCGGAATGATGGAAACGAATAATTAAACGTCGGAACGACCGTAAATCATTCGGAAGGGTCTGGCCGAGTCACAGCTACGTAATATGCGCTCGACGGACGAGTGGTGAGACGAAGGAACGACCAACGACGTAGCAGTTCTAAAAATACGCGAACGATTTAACCGATTTGTACACGACCACTCGTATGAGTCGGCCATAGACACTGCGTGTACCCTGAACGCGGTCGAAACCGACATTTGTTTGCCGTAGTTGCGTGCGACACGAAGTCAGGTGCGACAAATACGTTCGACCGAAGCCCTACGAAATGCGCTGCCGTGTCGTAGGCTTTTAAATGTTACACCACTGCGGTGGCAGATCGCGTCCTGCAAAAATTGTTTTCTACTACTACTTTTCGAATCTCGGTGGCCTCGGAATGTTTATTTTATTTGGAACGTTATTTAAAAATGTATTTGTATCTGTACACGATTCAGTCGTCTATGATAAAAATTCTACTCTTCTTCCATCGTTTATAACTGTTTTTCGAAATCAATTGTATATTTATTTCAAGTTTATAAAACAGTTCATCTGTGTCAATGACCTATCACCGTACCACCCTCAAATCTTGCATCAGGTTGTATATTGTTCATTATTTTGGTTTCTTATGTAAATTTATATCCAAAAATCTTATTCTTTTATTTTTCCTGGTCGATAATACATTTGCAACACCTTTTTTTAATTTGTTCCATTTTAAGATTTAGTTGTTTTATTTAAATCTAACATTCGTGTCATAGTACGCCGTGGAACTATAGCAACACAGATATCTGTTTACAGTCACCTGAGGTGGTAGATTGAAATTCATTTGTCGTTATCGACTGTCGACTGTTGTTAGTTTAGATAAAAACCAAATAAAAATCAAACTTTGTCTGGTTATAGCCCAATATTAAATCGAGATGGTCAGCAACGTGATGAAAATGAACTTGACTGACGAAGAGGTCGAATCCATCGGGACCGGATTCTCGTCGAGGTATTACGACGCGCTGGCGGGCGAGCCGAACCGGTCGGCTTTGCGGCGGTTTTACAACGACAGGTCGAAGTACGTGGTCATGCAGCGCGGACGTCCGGATTACGAGATGAAGAGTCTTTTGCTCATTGGACGGTTCGTGAAGCGGATGGGGTATAGCGAGTGTACGGTGACCATCCGATCGGTGATCACCGCAGTTCGCCCGACGGCGGAGCTCGTGGTCTTGTCGGTCGGCGAGCTGTTATACCCCGGGAACATGGTCCCGCGGAAATTTACTCAGTCGTTCGTTATCAAACGCGTTCCGTGGACCGCAGCCGAATATCAGATCGTAGAAATGGTGTTCAGGTACGATAACGATACCGTGGACCATCGGATTCCTATAGCGGTTAACGGCACACCAGTCGTGGCCGGTCCGAAACGAAACGACACTGCCGTGGTTTCCGACGAGAAAGCCACAGGAAAGCTTAAGTGCACGCCGGCGAATCGTGTTGGAAAATCGAACGTTACTGGTGGAAAATCGATGACCAGCACGGTTCCTGTTGTCGGTTCACTTGCCGCCAACGGAAAAGTCGATGGCAAATCGTGTAGCTCGCGATCTACTCACTCGAGAAAACTCGCCCTGGTGACAGTTTCGGTTACGGGAAACCCGATTATGAAAGTGAAACCCGTCATGAAGGTTAACCTATCATCAAAAGGTGCGCAGAGTCTTATCGCACAAATGTATTGTGAAAATCGCACGCGTCTACGTAACGCGTAAATACTGTTTTTGTTCCAGACGTGTCGAAGAAGCAAGAGTCTACGAACAACGTACTACAACCTATTAAGTCGGGAAGACCTGCTCCCGGTCGTAGGATAACTTTTATTTTTACCAACCGGTTTAGCTCTCTGGTGGTGGACGACGATTTTCCATTGGGTGTCCAAGAGAAACCCATACGCCGTGAGTATATTCAATATGTGATTTAATACAGTTGAACCGCCAACACGTACAAATATTCACTAATAACCGAAAGCTTCGTTTGAATCTAAAAATAATGTAACTCCCATTTATATATAAATAACTATAAAAACGTAAATAAATAAATAAATATGAAATTATATCGGCTATTCTTAGAGACCGGAGAAGCACTGGAAGAGTTCAATTATGGCCAGTCGGAAAAATCCAAGTGTACGAATACCGCTGCAGAGAGCGATGCATTGAGAAAGCATCGGGTTCCAGAGCAGCAAACTGGTATGGAAAAATTAACGAAGAACATTAAGAGTACGTTGTCGGTTGATACGTTGAAGGATTCTCCACAAAAACCGCTAAAGAATATTCGTTCGGCCGTCGCGTCGTTCGACCGTGTCAATAAGTTAGCAAAACGCGACGAATTGTTGGTACTCAAACCCGCTGTGAAAACGGTCCGTGCCGCGGTTCGCAAAGTATCGAGCGTAGAAAAGGAAGGTAAGAGTAGCAAAGACATTGTCGGTACTGAAACGGTGCACCGGAATTCGCAAATTCGCAAACGCGACATACAATCGTGTATACGGAAATAATAAAACACCTATTGCAATAATTTATTTTTGGAATTTCAGACCATCCGATGGATCCTCTTGTACCGTTGGTTAAGGATCGAGGCACTTCGACCGAAACCAAACGAAAGTCAAAGAAATCCAGGAGGAATCGTAAAAAAACTGTCGCGGCAATGGCGGCATTGTCGATGGTTAGAAGTTTTGATGAACAAGTGGTGGCGGGATCCATCAACATTTTTTGAACGTTTATGAAAGTAATCGTTTGCCCGATGTGTTTTAACATCACCTTCAGTCACCTAAAATAGTAAAACCGATGGTCACCAAATTCAATGACAATTGGAAGCGGTCCGGTCCATCGACGCATTTCAGTTCGAGTAATATCAATTAATAATTCACTTGGAACGATTTTTTTTTCTGTTAAAAATAAATCTTATACCCATAGAGATACGGGTATATTTATTATTTTCTATGCACATTAACATCTGCTTCAAAATTTCATTACGGTTTCAATGTTCGGATTGATATTAGTAAATCGATAATCGACAAAATGTCAGGTCTATGCGAAGATTGTCTATATGATTTACGTGAGGCTATCCGTAATCCTAGTATATAATTGAAAAATACAATTAATGATTTTGATTAATCCGGCCTTTTTACATTTAATTTAGAAGGCCCCGTGACGAGAAAAATGTTGAGGAGCAATGCGTTATATGAGACGGCAAACGTATTTACCCAAACGGTGCTCAAGGTACATGTGAATACTGTTTAAACGAGTGTTTCGGTAAAAAAAAAAAAGGACCGAACATTGCCGGTCCGCGACGAAAAGAACTGCGCAGACGCGTACTGTTAGATGTATACATATTATATACGGTTCCCGGTTTTTGCTTGAATCGCCATAGATCAAAGGGTTTTCGTTTCGTTTTTTCTCTCCTCGGAAAGGTCCCCCGCACACACTGCCGTGTCTCTTAGCCGCTGCTGCTGCTGCTCGTCCCTTGAGTTATGGGGCCCCAAGGAGGTCGGACTTAACTATAATTAACGACGCTATAAAAGTCACGACGCTAATTTGCAGCCGGTACACGCCTCGTGTACTGCGAGCGGACGGACGAAGAGAGAGAGGAGACCTTGGCAGACGTTGTGAGGCGATAAATCACTTCGGCCAAGGGGCCGAGACGATTTTAATAAATCGCCAGCGGAGGCGGCCGATTTCCTTTATTCCTTTCTCTTTTATTTTCGCGAATAAAAACAGAAACTTTTAATTGAGCCTTTCAACCGGCCAATCAACACCCCAGAAACGCATACACACACGTGTAACGTATCACTAACAGATAAACACTGTCGGAACTACGATCGTTGAAGCTGGTGGATACAATTTTTTTTTTTTTGAAAACACTGTTATATATATATATATATATATATATATATATATATAAGTTATTCTAACATTCTAAACGTTGGGCTGCTTATTTGTGTATAAAATAAAAAAAATATTTGTAGCAAATTAATACCATATTGAATTAATATTGAAATAACAATGATAATAATTTTGTATTTATAATGAAAATGATTTTTTTCTACTACGATATTGAGCAAATGTCTTTACTAACAGCGATAAATTTAGTTGTTTAGCACGCTTATTTACCTTCGAAATAATCGCAAAACCACTATGTTACATTTGGGATATGATGTTCCTTGGATAATTTTTAATTGATTTAAGTTTTGTCCTGTCGACACATACAACAGTAACTCAAAGAACAAGTAAAATTCCGTTAACAATTCAGAGAAATACATTATGGGCATAATATTTATAATCAGTTACGTATTTTTGAATTATGAAGGAAAGAACTTCATATTTTTTTAAATATTAATTTATTTTAAAATGCATATAAGTTTATAATTATTATGTTATTCTATTATTAATATAGATACAAATGAAGTGTTATTTATAAACACATAATATATTGTTCTCTTTCTCTGTACCTTCGCGCTAACTCGTTTATTATTCATGAACCTTTTTATTTTATTTTGGGGATCAAGACCCGGGAACCCTCCCCTACCCATCGGGAAAATTCGCTACTAATTATAACCGTATGATGTGTTTTTCACATTCGTTAAAGGAGTCCAAATATAGTCGTGTTGACATCGGATAATCCGTACTCGGTAAGATCCATTCAGCAATCACTTAGTGCTATATTGGCAATACTCCACAATTTTATTTACCTGAACTAAACATTTTTTTTTTGTATAGTACCGTATTTTACCGCAAGGCTAACGATGGAGCCCACGGAAAACCTTTCGCTTTCGACCATGCGCTACGTCGTTCCGTTTCTGCGGACTAACAAACGGTTCTGTCGTGCGTGGTGAGACGAGCAAAACGGTAAAAATATTTACGTACCATCGTGGACGTCGGTGACGATCGGAAAACGGAAATCGTTATTCCACCTCGGTTGTGCTGGGCAAACAACCGACTACGTTGTTTGTCGAGTCGAGAAGGAACGAAGGTTCGAAATCTTGAGTAAACACTTGCAGGCAACTGCACGTCGCGAGGAATAAAAAGAACAAATACGCATTTCGAATCCGTTGCCTCTGGGCGCGCACTGAACAAATATTACGGGTACGGGTGCAGCAGGCACCTACTTATTTACTTATTTACCGTCCTTATCAACGCGGCCCGAAACGAGTACGCGGAGTAATTATATCTACGAGTGAAATCCTGTCAAACGGAATTTATTTATGACCACTAAAAATGCCGCGACGTGTTTACGATACCGCCCGCCAGTAAACACCTGTCGGATATAAATCTCAAAGCAAATATTAAGTTCTCTCGCAGTGAGGCTGCGAGAACAATAATTATTAAGAAGGTAAATAAAATATATTATACGTTGCAGTTGTAAATTATGTACCTACGCCGCTTGGGAAGTGGTATCAGCCCGTGTCTGTTCGGCCGATCACTGTCCCCGCGGGACGGTAGCGCAATGAATTAATTTGATTTTCGTTTGCGGTGGCAGTGGATAAACGGAGAGAGAAAAAAATATACAACACCGAACTGTTGTTTTGGAAAATATAAAACGTTTAAGGATAATAATAATAGTAATAATATTGAATCCGACGCGAGACGGCGGAAAAGAACAATAGTCCGCTTTAAATGGGACGTTCTATGATAAATTACAACGTGATTATGTACGATTTTAAGTTTTTATTTGACACGACTCCGGATTCCAAAAGTATAATAAATATAAAACCGTATGATACGCGTATAACGTAAAAAAAAAAATAAAATAAAATACGTTAGCATGTGTACGATAAAAAGAAACAAAAATAAATAAATAATAAACAAGAACTCTGCGTGGGACAACGGTGGTGGAGGAAGGGTTAATATTGTTAGGTGAAATTTAAGAGCTACTCAAAAATAAAAAGAGATGAAATAAATAACTCGAAGGGATTTGAATTGGATTTAAGGATTTTCACTTTATTATAAAAAGTGAAACGTGCACGGTGCGAAGTCAGACATGTATACGGCGTAAGGAATACGAGTGAAGAATACGTATAAACTACGTATAAAAGTATTGTTATAAAAACGTAAAAATAAAATCTTATCATCTTTTAGTTCCCCTCGTGTACAATACTATGTATATATGTATGTGTATGTGTGTGTGCTTACGCAGACAGACACATACCTACTCGTGAAGTAAAAGTGTTTATTGTACACGACCCTACGCGAGAATCGAATTCCATTGTTTTACGTTATTTTAATCGCGGTGTGCGCCGAAGTGGTGTGACTTTCACGGGAAATATTGTCTTTCAAATCCGTCTACATGCAAACGGGAGAAGAACTACTCCTCGTACACATAATTTATCTTACCTTGGGGGAATGCCTCCTTAGTGCACTACCTCTGGATCTGTCCCTCCGTTCCTCCAAAGACGATTGCCGCCGCATCGTGTTCATTAATTAACACTTCATCGTGTATTAAACGCCGATCATATTTATTCCGGTAGTGTTTACGGCTGCGATATCATTTTTCAAATAAAATCTTAGTCAAACAAGAATGATTGAACGCGCGGCTCTCGTTTACTTACCTCCTTCCCCTCCTTCTCCCGCCCCCATCGCTGTTGACGCGATCGTAAATCATTCGGTCCACGCGTACACAGGCACAAGCAATCGCGATACATTGTGCTACTCCTCGGTTATCGTCGACGTTGACTTCATTTTTCCCCGACGGGCACAGCGCGCATCGGGATAATCGTTTGAATTATAGTTTTTCGAAAACGACGATTACGTCACGTTACTTGAGTTGTCGCGACTAGAAAACCGAACGAACGTAAACGCGATCCGTGCGTAGTTTCGTCTGCTAAACGGGTGTTGCACGCGGTCTCGTCATAATTTGTTCCGACGAGATAGTAACGCTTTGGCGCGCGTGTGACCAGTGCACTGAACAACGTGGTCAATTCGCTCGCCAGACGTCTAATTATCAACGTCAACACCGAGAAGATAAAACAAACGAGTGTTTTAACGATAAATGCGTTTCGCGCTCCGACAAGAGTCTGCGGTTTCAACGCGGACGCCACGGCCGTGGGACGAACAGTAGACCTATTAATAGTCACACGCGTTTTCAGTGCAAACGAAGAAATCGAAAAATACCCGTTCGTGTGGACGTCCACGCGCCAACGGCAACGACAGAATGGTACCGCATGAACAAACGTTATTCGAACTTATTCTAAAGTGGCGGACGATAAACTACATTGGTACATTGCACGTCGATGGGGATTAAAAACCCAAACCGACCGCCGACGCGAGTGGAATGGCAATAACACGCCAATGTCCCGTCATGATGTAATCTCGTACCTACGATGTGTTCAACGTTATGGTTTTTTGTGCGGCCGGAATACGATTTTAACGCGCATAAACAGTCTTTGAAGTCGATGAATAACTAATCGGTCGCTTTATTAGTAACAGAGTTCAGCTGGTGCGATATAATACCGTCTCCACCAACGCAATATACACCGGGCCGGGCGTTAAATCCAATACATAATCGTAAATTACACTTCGTAATAGTGTTCATGTTTTTTGATTTGATTTGAAAAACAACAAAACCTGATACCTCGCCCACTACTCATTTATGGGTGGAACTGCCATCTCGCCGACTGACGTGTAATAAACGATCATATTATGCTAACGCAGTGGCGGATTTATGGGTTCAAATAATGTGGGTAAATCCAAAAAAGGTGCCTCGTACAAAATGGATCAGTCATACACTTATCCCGTTTCGCTCACGATGTCTGCCACCCTCCGATTAAACATTTTCCTGGCCAATAACTCATTTAATACATATGATAAAGTAAGACAGTCTCTGAATTTTACCGTGCATATTATATTATTCTACGGTTGTGGACTAGAATGGTTTTGGTAAATTTATAAATTTCATATAGTTTTTTTTTTTTTTTTTTGTAAATTTATTTTATAATGGATACTCTTATTTTGGTTTCCATAATAAGAAAGATTTCGATTTGGTGTATTTTAATTTTTATCACA